GAATGGTGCCGGACATGCAGTACATGTTGTGCTAAAAGGGGACCCAAGCATAAGGGATGCCCAAATGATGAAGAGTTGCCTGTGAATATGTCAGAGTTTGTGAAAGTGTTATCGGAAAGGATGGATGCTATTCACCATCAAGTACGTTCAAACTTGAAGACGTCTGCTGATTCAATGAAGTTAACTTATCAGTAGATCTCTTATCAAGTCAGCTTTGAACCAGGAGACAAGGTGTGGTTGTATAATCCCCGGAAGGCCAAAGGGAAGTCTCCTAAGTTGTCTTCTCCATGGGAAGGCCCATATGACATAGTGGATCGTCTCTCAGACGTGACTTTCTGGGTAAAATGTGGTCGGCGAGGTAAGCCAAAAGTGGTGCATGCCAACAGGCTTTGGCGTTATCATGGTCCAGGACATTTCAGTTGGGACGAGGTGAACAAAGGAACAAATGACGCTGCTGAAGACATGTCACCTGAAAAAGCCAACATCGAAGAAGTAACTCTTCTCAGTTTTGAGAAGGGAAACAATGAAGCCCTTGATGAAGTTACTACCACTGATGTGACTGTTACCGATGATAGGACATTTACTGATGAAGCAGATGAACCCCACATGAAGCAGAAGCCAACAAGACGGAGACCAGTACGGAAGAAGATACGTCCCGTAAAATTAAGAGACTTTGTTGAATTGTAATTTTATGATTGTAATTCCGTACATTTAATTAAGTTATTGTTAATTGTTATTGGTTTAATGTATGTGGTTATTGTTCGGGACGAACAATATTAAGGAGGGGGCAGTGTTGCGTGAGCGAGGTCACGTGACTTGTGTCACGCCCCCTGCTTTCTGGAAATATCTTGTACCTTCGTGAATTGTCGGGAGATTACTAGATATAGGGTAGTCTGGTATATATAAGAGGGTGACAACGTGACGGGGAATAATGTGTGTAGGTAGTGAGTAATTGAACTGCAGTCAGAGAGTATTATTGAAGTTGAGCAGGTTCGTTGTTATAGCGTTTGTTTTAGCGTGAATGTTGAAATTAAGTGTATCGGTAAAGTTGTATTCGGAAAGAATAAACCAGTTTTATTAAGTAAGGACTTGTGTCGCTAAAGTTTCGTCGGAACGAAGTTACGGAAAGTTAATTAACGAACGGAGACGTAACAGGGGTTTTGGTTGAACCCCTAACCCACACCCCACCCTGCGTACGTGCGTGAGTTAGGGCTTATTCAGCTTATTAGAAAATGTAAGTTGTTAACAATGAAACATTATTTAATAAAATACAAATTAAATATATATATATATATATATATCTCACAAGCATTTACCACAATTAAAAGCAAGTATACATGTAACTAACCTCCAAGCCTAAGTTCTGAAGATGCCTGTACAGCCTCAAATATGTTCTGAACAAAACACTGATACATTCCCTGATCCTCCTTATCAACATCTGGAATCTCAAGCACTGACTTTGACGAACGTATAAATCGTTTTTGTGATAAAGGAAGAATTCTTCCATCTTTCATCCACGTAATGTTGGTAACTGGGTAACCTGAGACTGAACAGTTGAAGATTGCTTTGGTTCCAATATCTACAGTTTGATTTTGTGGAATAAGTCTGACATCCAACTGTGCTAAAATACAAATATATATATATATATATATGTATGATAATAATACATTTTTGAATTACAATAACATCCCTTTAAACCTAATTTATTTATTAACTTAAGGGTTTAACTTTACACTTTTTTTTTGAAGTTATTATTATTTTCTGCTTCCATGTCAATTATTCTTTAAAGCACAAAAGTAGCTTACTCTACAAATTTAATAGAATTTAAAATCCATGTACAATCTGTAGCTTTAATAAAACAATTATATATTCTCAAACCATGTAATACTGTGAATACAATTAAAATATTTTAAAGTTTTGCTCTTGATACTGAAACTATTTCAGTCACATTCACTTTGGTTAGCAGTTATACAACTACAAGCTGTAAACAAGTGTCCAAATCAGAACAAAATTACTTATTAATATTGTTATAAGTTACATAGGCGTAAAACAGAACAGAAAAGAAAATGGTTAGATTTTCTTCTTTTAACTCATATGTTTGCAGTTGAAATAGTAAAAGAAATATATTAAGTACAATTTTAACAAGCCTAAACACAGTAGCATCGTATTGTAATGTATAACCAATAATTATGTAATTAAAACAACAGTCTGTGTGAGTCAGTCCATGTGTGCATGCATATAGCTCACATGGAAACCCAATATTTCTATTGGTTAATTGTGCACTGGTATTTTTACGTTTATACGAGTGCAAAAATGACGACACGCAGTGTTCTATATTGTTCTAAAATTACGACGTTTATAACATTACCTTTAAAGATAATTACTTCAGTAACATAAACACACAAAGAAACACATCACGTTAAATCTTTATCTTTCAGTGGCTAATAAATAAAGCAATACCATGACATCTGAATACAAATTCCAAAAGACGTCTAAAAACGGATAATTAGGCCTAAAGTTTAAATACATTCGTAGTGAAGCACGAGTTCACATCTATGGCAATTAGGCTTAATAGTAACTTCCACAACTTCATTCATTTTCGATACTCTACAACTATCACATTGTACAAACGTTTGCCATGATATACAAGCAGTACTTGAAATGGATAATTTGTGAAATTTTGTATTTGAATATTTGTATTTGTTGTATTTCTTGTTTTTCATGTGTATCCTTTATTATGTTAGCTTAGTTAAGGTAATGAAACAATAATACTAATTCTTCACGAGGTATATTTGCGAGCAGCTTGAGTATTATTTAAGTATTGTTAGTATTGGAGGTATTGTTAGTTAGACATGGTCATTATGATACTATTCCACTGGCTTTTCTATTAGTATCAATTTAAAAATTAAACAAGTGTCTGACAACAAAGGGAAAGGTACTTGGGGAATGGACCTGTCACAACCCACAGAGCCCTCATCTCAAACAGCAGTGTTTACGTATTAAGCACTACTGTTTGTGTATATTTCTGTTGGTTTGTTTGTAATTAAGCACAAAGCTACACAACGGGCTATCTGTGCTCTGACTTACAACGCTAGAAACCGGGCACCGTAGAGATACCGCTGTGCCACTGGGGGGGGGGCATGTGAATTTCTTTATTTGTTTATAGACATTTAGAGTACTGATTCCTTCACCCTGTTGAGTTTAATACTAGCTTCTGATACCCAGGTTTTGAAAGCGTGGCTAGATACGCTTACGAGATAGGTAGATCGGTTTGTCATTTTTGATTAGGCCATTCGGGTCATTTGTATTAGATGTGTTTGGTGGGTACCATGTGTTAAACCTATTCCACAACACATGGTACCCACCATGTGTTGTGGAATAGGTTTAACCTCACAGTTATTTAAATGCCCCACATGGCTATCAGATCCGTTCAAAACTTTCCGTACGTAACCTCATAGTCTAAATAGATCACTTAACTGTACAAATTACTCTCATAACATTAAATATATTTTTTAATTTTCAGGATTCAAATACAAAATACAATGACCAAAATAATGTTTCATACGTGAAGCATGAGTTTCTCCTCTAGTTGGCTGTTATGATGATGACCATTGCCTGAGTATCCTGAATTAGGATTGAACTTTGAAGGAAAATGAATGATGTGTTACAACATTCTTGTTTCTAGCACTTCTATATTTTTAACTACTTGATTTATAAAAAGGAAACGGAGTGACAAAAAGTTATCTCGCTAGTTATCCCGTGAAGTTTTTCTTCAGAAAGGAATTAGAGAAGTATAGAATGTTCAATGTTTTGATTTGGCTGTTAGCTAGAGGGCGCATCACGTAAATATTAATATAACCCTGAGATGAACAAAATAGTTGTGATCGAGCGACTTTGAGAAATAGATAAAAGTACGAGTAGACAATTAGCTCAGAAGTGATGAATAGTGAAAAAGTATTTAGTAATTAGTCAATTTTTAGTTGGTGGAGTGCCAGTTATTCAGTGAAGTATTTGGATGAGCTATCATGTATATTCAGTTACTCGATCGATTAGCCGAGAAACTGTAAAAGTAAGTTTATTTATACGTTAGCCTTAGTACCATTATCGAGGTATTTCAGTTGAAATGTTATTTGTAAACTTAGACCTACAAGTCACAACCGCTTACAACAAGTGATAATAACCTGTTGGTTAGGTAAGAATAAACTAATTTGTTATCATTACGTGGATTTGGTAATATTTTTTCATCAAATAATTTAAAAGAACCAGCCCAATGAAATAACAACATTTAAACATTACTCTTAAAGTTAAACGTTATTTCAACCTACTTCTTGTAATTATTTTTGCATGCTGTTGGTTTTAATTATGCAAATTGAACTTTTTATGTGCTCAATAGAACAAATGTGATTCATTTAAAATACTAAAGCTAAGTGATCTCATTAACCATTAAGGATTACCTGTGACAATAAGCGTTGTTTCACTTTTGGCTTCACCAACATCACTGACCACAGAACACAAAAACTTCCCGCCATCTGCAGAGCTCACTTTATCAAATATCAGGGATCCACTTAATTGGCGAATATGATTTTCAACTACTACGGGTTTGTATGTTCCTCTGTAGTCTTTAAACCATCTATAAATAACAAAAATCTTCTAGAAATGAACTTCAAAGTCACCACACAAATTTGTTTTGAGCAACATTTTCAGTTGATTTAAAAGTTCATCTTGAAAACATTATACAAAGTAATTCAAAATTTGATATTTCATTTTCTATTAAACTTATTTCAACAGATTCATTATCAAGGCCCAGATATTCTTGTTTGAGTTTTAAAAAGTGCTTACTATAACAATACGACAAGAAGTGCTTGAAATTTTAGCTTGAAAATTTAATAACCTCAAACTATTCTTTCACAATGAAAGAATATGATATGCTTAGAAATTACACGAACCTGAAAATCTATTTAAATACAAGATATGACTCAGCAATATGAAATTCAAACGAGTTTGTTTTAACGATTTGGACTATTGTCTTACATTCAGATTAAAAATGAAAAAAAAAATCTGTTCATATATTTTGTTAGACGTAGTGGTTTGCTTTTCGAAATGTCCCTTGGTGGGACAGCGTAAGTCTAGTCTACCGATTTAAAATGCTAAAATCCGGAGTTCGATTCATCACAATGGACACAGTAGATAGCCCAATGTGGGTTTCCTCTGAAATAAACAAACAAGCTTTTCGAAATATTTTGTTTTACACATGACACCCCTCCGTAATTGAACCCTCATCTTCAGTTCTTGTTTTAGTTGGAAAGAACCTGCATAATTTCAATTGAAAACTCACAGTGTATGAACTTCCCTCATTATTACCAGCCTGAAGTACAAAATAATTTTGCTATTTGATAACAAATGTCTGTAACTGTATATAAAACTATTTCCATGCTATAATGCTGCTACAAGGTGCTGTATAATGGTTTGTTTGTTTGTTTGTAGTTATGTGCAAAGCTACACAATGGGTTATCTGTGCTCTGCCCACCACGGGTATCAAAACCCGGTTTATAGCATTGTAAGTCTGCAGACATACCACTGGGGGGCTCTGTATAATGGATCTGGAAGATCAATCAGGTTTGGTCTGTTGAGGTCATGAAGAACAATCACCGGGGTGACAATGTTTTCACAATATATATATTTTCCTAGCTTAGATGAATAAAGTTTTTTTAAGTATGTGCTAATGTTTTACCTTAAGTTTAAGGCACGTGCTTATAAACAAAACTTCCCTGAAGTTTACACATAAGACACATGTGTATATATGCAACTGTAAGTAGAAATGGTTAAACATTTCCTGGTTTCCAAATCAACTCTTGGGTGTTCCGAGCAGTGAAAGATATTTGGAGTTGTCCTGTATCACTAAAAACAGTGCTTAATTTCTACCAAGGCATTCACGATCTTCAAAATTGTTTTGGATTTTATTTAATCTGACAGTGCAAAACACTACCATTATTTTAAAGACTGTCTTGTTTGAATTGCCAGTTGATATTTGCGTTGACTGTAGAAGAATGTTTAATAATGGTAATGTTAAAACCATTAAACAAAATTATAATTCCTGTATATGATGAAACCATTCACTGCGAGAACCGGAGTTACTCACTTAGAACCTGTTGCTCCAGGCAAGTGGTAACTTTATTCACAAAGGTAATAAGATTTATCATTTCACTCTTCTTTTAACACCACCAGCAGGAGTGTAACATCCCTGTATTCCAAACCAGATGATCTGGTGCACCCCTAAGTCCCGTGTTCTTGGATATTTGACTGGTGTAAGCAATTACAGTACATTGCTCCATTCCCACTATATCCTAAATACAGAGGTTTGAGTAAGTTATCTCAAAACTATTTTTAATATGCAAATCAGCAAGTAATGTACCAACCAAAGCTGATACAAGGCTGACTGGCATGTATCACAAATAAATATCTAAATTATTTAGTGTTATGCAGATAGTATGTTGCCATCCACAAGTTATCTCTATTGTGAAGGGTATGGAACACCACTTTCGGACTCAAAAATATGTTCAGATTGCCGATTTAGAATTACTAAGATGGAGATATCCCTCATACTTAATGACATTGCAAAACAAAATAATATGGATCAATTAGAAGTACCACAATCATTCAGAAAGAGACAAGCAACAAGTTGTACCCCAGCAAAGTGTGGCATCTTGTAAGAGGTGAGAATCTATAAACGCAAAACCCACTGGTGAAAGCCATCTATGTTCCCCATGCAACAGTATGCAACACAACAAAGAAAGATCTCAACCTGGAAACGAGGCCATGATGGTTTGGATTCACTTCTAGTCATACCTCCCACTCAATCATTTTATATTCTCAAACACTTTAAGAATTAAATGGGTTTTCATAATATTCCATACAAGAACCAAGGATTTCTGTGCAATTGGATTGTTAAATGGCAGCTGATAAACCATTGTAAACAAGCAAGGTGAAATAGGCTTTTGCAACAGAAACTGTCACAGAGCTATTGTCAAGATGCATGGTCATTAGATAGATTATGACTGAACATGGCAACTTGGACTGTTGTGACATGGTGAAGTTCCAGTAGTTACCTTAACTGTTGCATGTCACACCACCAGAGGGAGCATTGCTAGGACACTTGACAATGAAGTTGTCTGCTACCAGAGAAGGCATTGCTAAGAGATGTCACATTACATCACAGTTCGAGTGTTATTCAACAGAGTGTGTTGTTAGAGGCCATAGAGGGCGTGGTGGTATGATGAATGTGCAGATAGTTTACGAGTGAACCACCAGAGTGATATCAGTCATCATGACCTTAACTTTATAGAGACAATCAAAGTCTTAAAATTAATAATTTAATCTCATTTACATAACATTATTTTTACAATTATAACAATTACAGTTTTGCTTATAGGTAAAACATTAAATATGCTATTTTAATCTTATCCACTTTATAGTTTTTGCTTATATAATGTGTATTTTTTACAAAGGCAGACAGTAAATTTGATGTCATGTTGATCTATATCACTCTCTAGGGGTTCACTCACAAACTATCTGTGCATCATCATGCTACCACACCCTCTGATGTGCCCTTTAATTTCACATCGTGGAGCTATGTCTCCTATCAACATGCTCTATGTCAAATAGCACTCGAGCTATGATGTCACGTGACATCTCCCAGCAATGCCCTCTCTGGTAGCAGACAACTTCCATTGTCAAGTGTTATGGCAGCATGACAACTTGCGTCTGTGAAGTGTCATGACGGCTTAGCAACGTGCTTTCTGGATCTACTTAGTGAAACTATGATGCCATCCTCTCTACCTTCTCCACTACTGCCTGAGATGGAAACATGTTTAACATTTTGGTGGCATGCCATGCAACAGCCGGGGTAACTACTTATAATGTACTCAACCTATGTAGTAGCCCCTATGAAATTTAATTTCTTGTCTTCTTCTAAAGATTATGATTTTAACTTATCTACAAACTCAGTAATGTTTTACACAGTATATATATAAGTTATCTTTATATCTTGGTTGAAAGATTCCTCAAAAGAAATCGAATGGTACAGAAAACTCAAAGCCCAGGGTAAACCTCAAAAGGTATGTGATCATTATAGTACACTTCTGGTAATAAGTATATCTAGTGAGTAATATTGAAGAGCAAAGTGGTAACATTAAGGTTATTTATTCTTCAAATATATATTGATGTTGGCTTATAACCCTATAAGGATTATAAGCACCATAATCATGGACATAATTATAAGAAATATTAGATTCGAATTAATCATTTATTTAGATCATTTACTTGATGTCAGTATTTGCCAAAACAATAAGCTTTAATAGGTACTATACATCATTATACACTATGAACAATAAGCTTTAATAGGTACTATACATCATTATACACTATGAACAATAAGCTTTAATAGGTACTATACATCATTATACACTATGAACAATAAGCTTTAATATGTACTATACATCATTATACACTATGAACAATAAGCTTTAATAGGTACTATACATCATTATACACTATGAACAATAAGCTTTAATATGTACTATACATCATTATACACTATGAACAATAAGCTTTAATAGGTACTATACATCATTATACACTATGAACAATAAGCTTTAATAGGTACTATACATCATTATACACTATGAACAATAAGCTTTAATAGGTACTATACATCATTATACACTATGAACAATAAGCTTTAATAGGTACTATACATCATTAAACACTATGGAAAAAATATAAACGCATTCCTACGTTTGTATTACATTGTTATAAAAATAGATCTATAAAATGTGGAAACTCGCGAGTTCTGTAGTAAGAAGTACAAATACGAATATGACTCATTTTAAACACATAATAAAACGAAAATGTAAATTAGATTCCCTATTTTTAAATTAGTTTCTAGAAATAAGATTTCAAACTTTTAATGGACATGAACCAAACTTTCACTCGATTCTCTTAAGAATTATTAGTGACAAGTTTCGTTTTCATTGTTTAGAGTTGCTTTTTATTATACATTCACAATAAAAGTATATGCTTTATTTTAATACCCATTAGGGATACATTTTCGTGATGAAAATTACCATATTTTTATTTATTCTCTTTTAGAATTTGCAATTTAGTCACAAGCAAAATACAGAGAAAGCTGAGCCATAGCCATTAATGAGACCTTCCTTAAGTAGCTCAGAACGTATCATTAGTCAGTTATATCCATGCAAATGTGTTGTATTATTTTCGTGCGAGTGTTCTGCATACAGTATGGTATTCTTATTAGCCAAATGTCTAAGTGGTCATAAATATGTACTAATCCTTTTACTAATGTAAAACTTGAAATATCAGTGGTTCAGCGGTAAGTCTGAAGGCTTCTAACGCCAAAAACCAGATTTCGATACCCGTGATTTGCACAGCACCGTATAGCCCCATTGTTTTGTTTGTGGTTTACAACAAACAAAGTAAAGCTTGCATATGGCCTAAAGCTGAAACTCTTATCATTTTGGCTCTGTGTCTGTCCCACCCCTTCCTAGGGAGTGACTAATCCATTTCCAGGGGTGACAAAGATACTTGTATGAACTGATAGGAGTTAGGTTTTTTTTCTTCCCTGGAAACGTTTTTTGGAATAATCGGTGACATATGAAGCGTTGGATTCTGGCATATCACGCTTTTGGAATGATTGGTGACATATATAGCGTCAGATTCTGGCATATCACGCTTTTAACGTTTTGTCTGAATTACGGCTGGATCAGAATTTCACCTGTCTTTCTTTGTCCTATGTGGAAATGTGCAAAAAGGTTCCTTTCAACTACAGCAACCAGTACAGTATAAAACTATATACAATAATTATTGCCATGCTGGTTATTAGATTTTGTTGCACAAGTAACTGTTAATAAGCATTATATTTATTTGTTCACACACGTTTATGTATTTCCTTGGGTGTCCCAGTTTGAAATAATTCTCTGCAATACATCTCCCAAACTTGTGTTTTACGAGTACATTTGCAGCTATCTACTGGATATTAGTGGACCTGAATAGCACATACGTGGCATTCTAAAACATACATATTAAATTTTAAAAAAATAAACCTATTAGGCAGTTAGTCTATAAAATGTGAATAATCGTACTATTTACATTCCTGTATTTGTTCTTTTTACGAAAGATTTAATCTTCTATACAATAATTATCTCTTTATGTCCAGGAGAAAATTTGAAGAACTGTGAAAAGTTACATAAAATTGTAAGCAGACTATTTACTAGTATTATACATTCTTTGTAGAAGAGTTTAAAATAGAGCTTAGCTCATTAGCTAATACACATAAAATACAAACTATTAGATTAAATGTTTCCTTTTTAATTAATTATTCTACTTCTAAACAGTTTTTCCACGAGAATAAATAAAAGATACTATACTTGTATTCGGGAATGGGAAAAGCTTGTACAGCACACGCTAATTCTACTGGATCCCCTTCTTTAACAGTCACCATAGGAACACTATCAGTGAGTCGAGGAGTGACGTTGGCATGGGGTTCTATAGACGTCAAAATGATAAAAATATAATAAACATTCACAATAACGCCACTCACTGGTTACTGCTAACATTTGAACCTATCTATTTACTTGTATGTTGACTGTGTTACCACTGTTTCTAAATGATACACCACATGGCTTCTAAAAAACAACTAAAGATGTTACGTCATGTATTATTACATATCACGGTATTAACGAAGTACATAACTAATTAAGTTGATAATTTATAATGAAATTTATTTAAATTATCATTATAATAACGTCTTAAGTTTCAGATTGAAAACAAAGATTATTAATCTTAAAATTAAACTCAGCTTATCGCTATTCGTAAGATAATTTGTATAACAGGCCCTCACTGGTTCTAAGCTAAAACATCCAATGAAAGAGTACTACAACAGAACACTTTGTTGTCCCCATTACCTTACTGCTTGGATTATTCTTTCTTGGCTGTCTGCCAACTGATTATATGCCCAAACGAGTATTTTTAAAGGTTATCCAAGAATGAAATTTCAGTGTTTCTTTATGCAATTTTCTTTTGTTTTTAATTGTAAATTCTATAGGTGAAATGTCTAACTAAAATAACATTCTTTCTTGAATAACTTTTACATGGAATGTATGATATATAATTTATATATTTGACCTCGTGTTAATAAGAAAACCTTACTGTAAGTCTGATACTCTAAATAAGAAATGCCCACATCTTTCATAATGATGTGGTTACGACGCTGGAAGCATGCGCGCTGGACTTTCTAGAAGGATCCTGACTTTTCCTGGTAACTCTAGTCTGTTCCAGACGCCCTCTTTTTTAGTATATAAGTCCGGCAAATAAAGCGGAGAGATAATTTTTGCAGATAGATAGACATAGAGACAGATAATTGAGTCAAGCGAGCGGTAGTGACTGTAATATAAAGTGTGTGTTTTGTTATCGAGATTGCAAACGTATTGACAGTTGAAATTCTGTGTATTGCAAAGTTGTATCGAGAAATAATAAACTAGTTTTAATTAAGAAAGGACTTGTGTCGCTGAAAGAATTTATATCGGAAGTTAACAAACGACCAGATACGTAACAATATGATTATGGCTTGTTACTGGTAATTTTTCTATAAATGCCAGACGTTGAATTACTGTTAAAGACAAGAAATTAGCTGGACATCAACGTTTTATTAGAGGGCAGTTGATAAATAGCGGCGGATTTTTATTATGTCCACACTAATTGTTCATCTTTACGGATGCAGACACGTTTAATATATGTGTCTACAGCTATTACAATAGAACAGCGTTTCCCAAACTCTTCTGGCCACGGAACACTTTTCAGCTGAGAAAAAGCTTAAGGAACACTAGACACGTGCTTTTCGAGGTAGAGGGTATGTGTGCGTGCGCAGCGCCCTCTTGATTTGTATATTATTCATTTATTTATTTAATCAAATTACTTATTAATGAATTTTTACATATGCTTATAATATAGTTTAGGTACAAACCTCTCCACTAAGATATGATGTAGAATAGATATGACATCTTCTATAATTCTACTTCAATGTGAAATCGATATTATCTAATTCTAATACATAGGAAAATATTTCATAATAAGCTATGATCGTGTTAAATATTCTATTAAAATTTAAAATCATGATTTTCTCACGGAGCACCTATCAATCTCGGACGGAATACCAGTGTTCCGGGGAACATAGTTTGGGAAACGCTGGAACACCAGTGTTACACGGAACATAGTTTGGGAAACGCTGGAACACCAGTGTTCCATGGAACATAGTTTGTGAAACGTTGGAACACCAGTGTTACACGGAACATAGTTTGGGAACGCTGGACCCCAGTGTTTCATGGAACATAGTTTGGGAAACGTTGGAACACCAGTGTTCCACGGAACATAGTTTGTGAATCGCTAGAACACCATTGTTCCATGGAACATAGTCTGTGAATCGCTGGAACACCAGTGTTCCACGGAACATTGTTTGGGAAACGCTGACATAGCAAAATGGGTTAAAAATGTACTAATTTGTTCTTGCTGGGAAAACTCTGAAAGATAGATTCGCTATTTCTTAGAATACATATGTGTTTAATCTAAAAATTAGTTTTTGAGAAGATAACAAGCAGTATTTAATTTTAGTTTTATGTAATTCAGTATTAACAGATTGCATCTGAGGAAATGTTAAATGTCTAACATGGTTTTTCACAACAGTACAGATAGTACGTCATGCAAGGAGTCTTCAGACACTGCTTAGGTCTAGCTCAAATATTAGAACCAATTTTTTGTACCATGAAGTGTTTTGTTTTTCTTTTAAAGGAAGAAAATAAAGTTAATACACGTTTGAAGAGGACTAAGATGTTAATTGTAAGGCAGCTCAAGTTTAGCGTATAGAATCTTTCAGCGTTTACTTCCGCGGAATCAAAAATATAATCAATACAACGATAAATAGATAAAAATGTTACTTTAACCGCTGCTTATCGCTTTGCGTGTTTCTTCTCAACGTTTATATACTCTTTCGTGGTGTTTTTTTTTAAACTATTTCAATAAACTTTAGTAATTTACGTTGTCAAAAAAGTGCAGTATAGATAGATCCCCATCGATCCCCAACATGTTTCTCCAGGATCAAAAGCTAAAAACCAGAGATAATATTCCGAAAACTGCTGATATATGCAACTTTTAATGTTCTTAACAAAATTCGGAAGTAAATTTTAAGCAGTAAAAAAAAATTCATCGTGCAAGTATTAACAGGTATGTATTACCTGGAATTCGATTTTTACAGAAGTTATTATAACATTCAGCTGGATGGAACAATAACTTAAGGGAATATATTTTAATTTTTTCCAGTTACAGTTGAAAAGTTCGAAACCTTAAAAAATGAAATATTGGATGGTGTGATACGGTACAAATGTTGATAAATGTTGCGTTGGTCATGTTTATAGGGTATTAGGTGGTTGTTCTTAGGATATAAAAATCTATGTGGTGAGTTTGAAATAAGTCATAAGATCCGACGCACAACAAAACTTCTGATTCTGAAATGTGTTTATGAAATATACACGAAATGTTTAAAGATGAAAAACAAAATATCACTAACAAACGTTTTGCCCTACAAATCTTAGGATATAAAAATCTATGTGGTGAGTTTGAAATAAGTCATAAGATCCGACGCACAACAAAACTTCTGATTCTGAAATGTGTTTATGAAATATACACGAAATGTTTAAAGATGAAAAACAAAATATCACTAACAAACGTTTTGCCCTACAAATGATTTTTTGATTAAGCTTTCGCCAGATATATGTATAATTTTATGCCCTTAAAAGCAATAATTAAATTATTAAATACCTCGTTATCAGGTTACTCTACCAAGAGTTAAATTGCTTATTTTTAAAAGCGCTTACTTCTTGATATTTTTAAAATGATTCCTGGTTGAGAAGTTATTTAAAAGATTACCTAATTTATTTTTACGTAGAAAAACTGGATAGGAACTATAATTATATTTTCTAATGTGTTTTTTATAACACCTGATAATTTTAGGTAAAAATGATATATTATTAATGGCAGTTTTATATCCTAAACACTTGAACGATCAATTAACTGGATACTTTAGGATTTATCACGTTCTTCGTGTTAAGTACTGCAGTAGCTGGATTGCCCCAAGAAAAAAAAAAGAAGAAATAAAATATTCTATGACTTTTTAATTCGACTTCTATTCTGCGTACAGAATTACAGTATATATATTTCCATTTTCTTTTATACAAGTGGATTATGTTATATTAACGATCTTTGTTTCCTCAGCTCAATGTATGCGTGTGTATATATAGTAATCATTGAAATATATGGTGATTTGTTTAAAAAATACCATTCTGAACGACCTCATGAATAAAACTTTCTTATTCCATTTTACAGCCAGTTTTGTATATATTCAGATGTTAATAGTATATATCCGATTTAATGTCATACTATGTGTCCAGCAGAGCATTTAAAGGTTAAATGGAATCCTTTATGATAGAAGATATTAGTTTAATTCATTTCAGTGACGTATTACTGTAATTATGATTCACCATTCTTTGTAAATTTTGCTTTACATCACTCTGACTTTAAGCACGAAAGCGAATGCACCACAACATAATGAGATCATGGCCGACTGAACATTATCTAAAGCTTCATATTCCAGCTTCATAACGTTTCAAAGTTAGACCTCTCCATTGAAGTATGTTTTTATAACGATACTTATAACTAACTCAGAATCTCTTAAAAATATAATTTTTTTTCTAAATTTATCGACCCAGCACTGTTGCTTATTTTTCGAATAGTTTAATTCTTAGGCACCTCGTTTTGAAGGGCACCAATTTTGTTAAGAACACTTTAAAAGTGTGCTCTTATAAAATATTATTTATTAAAATGTAGCAAGAAATAATATCAAATATATCTTTATAGCATATAGATAGCATATTCCACTCTACCAGTTCACTAATGACAGTTTAATTGTACACGTAGTTATAATTAAAAATATGTGAAAATTATAGTTTATAGCTTAATTTCCACTGAAATTCACAAGACAATAGAAACTGTATATCGCTTTTTTGACCAATAATCCTGGTCATTTGACGTTTGACATAAAGTAATTTCTCTCCAGAATCTAAACTTAGCTTTTTTTTTTGTTTTCAATCCATAAAATAGTCAATGAAATAGTATCTTTAGGAATAGAAACTCGTAAAAAAATAACGAACTACTTTTGAGAATAGGAAATTCAGCTGATGCTTATCAAGGATAAAACTATACCGATAACTTTGTTATGCTTGACGGAGAAAGAAAGAAAGGCTATCAAATCTCACAACTTAGAAAATTGATTGATAGAACAAAATAAAAACTAGGGATTTGTCCGAAAGGAAAGGGCACAGGTTTATATGCTGCTCTATTCTGAAACATTTAAAAGTACATTGAAACTATAATTCATACTAACTAGACCCTGAGGATGTACACCTGGGTGTGATATTTAATTGGTAATTCAAATCAACCTAATATGATAGTAATTCATGTACACAGTGAAACAAAAGTAGCAGTCTTTCAGTAATGATATATTAATTTAAGTTGGTCATTTCTGTCTTCTGGTAGTTCAATGATAAGCCTGAAGACTTATAACACTAGAATTCGGGATTCCATTCCTGCAGTGGGCACAGCACAATTAGCTCATTGAGAAGTTTTATGCTAAAACAAATAATCGGCAATTTTTATTTGCACTTTAAAAATACCGACTTTTCGTCCTAAATTTTTAGTCATTGCTGCTACTAAATTACTCTAAATCCTACTTTTCATACTTTTTGTACTTGTACCTCTTAATATTTTGCCAAACTAATTTTCCAAAATGTCATAAAATTATTTTGTTGCACGTACATTCATGTTAGATCTATCTCAAATATTTTATACGATTGTGCGTTATCTGCAATAATTTATTGAGTGTGTCTGTGTATGTGTGTGATCGCCAGACCTCCAAGAGGAAACAACCTAGAAACCCGAAATTTTGTACACATACTAAATGGACCCTGAGGGTGTGCATCTGGGTATTATTACTTATCCATGTGCGTGCGCCCGTGCACATATTTGTGTGAGGTAAGCAAGCAAAAACCACATAGAAAAGAATGTGTGTCCACCATAGCACCAAGAGCAAAGAATTTAGAAACCTGAAATTCTGCACCCATACTAAGTGGACCCTGAGGGTGTGTACCTGAGTATTATTATTTATCGTGCGTGCGTGAGCGTATCTTTTCATGAGGCAAACTAGCGAAAAACCACAAAAAATAATATGTGCACGCCATAGCTCCAAAAGCAAACAACTTAGAAACCCGGATTTTAGCACTGTAAGTCTGCAGACATACTGCTGTGCCACTGGGGAGCAGCAACAAAAGTATAACCTACTATTATTAGTCCATGTACTGAAAGTATAAAATCAAATGTATAAACTAGAAAATTAAAAAAAAACATTTGTTGACTTCTTAATTTAGAGTCTCTGTTGATCAAAGAGGTTTGTTTTCATTTTTTAAGTTTAAAATTGGATAAATATTTTTACTTTCATGATAAATTTTATGTACTTGGCTCTATGCTAGGTTATCTCACACTGTGTCTTTAGGCTTATTTATTAATTTCTTCAGTTCATACCAACATTCACTACACTTACAAGGTTTCACGGCAACCCCTTCACGGACCCCTTGCACCCCGTCCCTAAAGTCGTAATGGGCAGACATTAATCGAACGATAGAAGATTGTAATAGATTCTGATAAAAATGCGATAGAAATTTGTAATATCAAATATAAATGTGAAATATTTAACGCAATGATAAAGTTCTTTGATAATAAATAATTCTTAATTTACTGTACTTCATTTACGACTTGTTTCTGGGAAATACAAATTTTTAAAATATTTTTGACTGTTCTTCTATGCTAAAATGGGTTCAGAATACACACACTGACGTAGTCACCTAGAATGTATCAACCTAATAACCCGAGCGAAGCCGGGTACTTTTGCTAGTTAGAAATAATTATTATTCTAATGTACACGTACAGATATGACTAAATGTTTAGCATCATCCTATAATTTTAGGACTGAGATATAATAAAAAAGAACACAATTCAGGTGTTTTTCAACATCATTGAACCAAAAATACTATAAAATTATACCTATCGAAAGCTATAACAGTAGTATTTAAAATTTTCAGTGCGTTACATGGTTTTTCAGTACTTCCATAGCCCAATCTCCAGCATGGGCTCAACAAGGCGCCGAACGATCGATTCATCCTTTACATTTTCCCTTTAAATGTAACCTTATTCAGCAGGTTTCATTTTACTTATGAAGCAAATTTAGATAATTATATGGTGGTGCGTAGCTTTCAACCACAGCTGTAGGGTTGGACTTAGGGCTATCTATTGTGAAGTGTCTACATCCGCGTGTTTAGTTTTTAGCCGCGGCATATCGGCTCATAGAATGGCTCCGAGTTTGTTTTGTTTTTTTCAAGTCCAAACTTTTAACTCATGACTCTAACTCTTGACCGATTTAAGGTCTAATTCCAGGCGCGGCTACTGAGGATTTCCACTTGTTTCCTTAAACATCTAGATGTTCTGAGAGTATAAACAAACGAAATATATATATGTACCAACAGCTATTTCTTAGGAACCAAAGCTTTCAACGGTATATCGTTGTTTCTATGACAACTATGTAAAAATAAGGTTTCAGAATTAACAACGAAAAAAGTAATGTAATACGTGTGATCACGAAATCTACAACTAATAGCATGTTATACAACGGATAAAATACCGTTCTTCTAAATACGGCAGATATTAAAAATTCATATATATATATGTAGATATAGTGTACTCCTGAGCCAGCCTAACCACGTAACTGCGAGTACAATACATATATATGAATAAACACGATACATACGACTATAAAAATTGCAGCTGTGAATACGACTGTGTGACAATATAAGCGGGAGCTTTAGGTAAGGTATCCATTAGCAACAGAACGTTTTGTGTATAAATAAGGTACATTATGACAACAAAAACACACTCCATCAAGAAAGCGGCACAACTGCTATAGAAAACCCTCAACTTGTGAAACTGAATACGGACATACCTTTCTTGTCTAGTTTTAGGAAGCTGAATATAGGCATATCTTTCTTGTCTAGTTTTAGGAAGCTGAATATGGGCATATCTTTCTTGTCTAGTTTTAAGAAACTGAATATGGGCATATCTTTCTCGTCTAGTTTTAGGAAGCTGAATATGGGCATATCTTTCTCGTCTAGTTTTAGGAAACTGAATATGGGCATATCTTTCTCGTCTGGTTTCAGATGAATGTTTCTTTATTGTTTTGTTGATAAAAGGATATGAGATTTTGAAACTATTCAATTTATAAGTTCTTAAAATGACCACGTCGAGATTTAGGTATTCTTGTCTACTCCTCGAAACATTGTTTTTTCTTCTTAATTACAATTACAACTACGTGCGTAGAGTCTGAAAAGGGTTTTAATGTCGTGGAATTTCTATTAAGCGTAATAAAGAGTTGAATTATCCATTAAGTTTGATATAGACGCATAAATAAAGTTAAGGATCTAATAAAAGAGAATTTATTGGTAACATTTAAGAACGGTTGTATAAAAGCATTAACATCGTAGGGAAACAATATCCTCTTTCTGATTTATTCCGTGGTTCTAGTCAGTCTTAAAATATTCAAATAATGCTTTGTGCATCTTTGAAATACCTTAGATTTTTCAAAATATTTCAACAACGAATAAATCTAAAAAAAACAAAAAAAAACGAAGTCAGTACATAGTGATCACAGTGAGTACCGGGGAACCAAATGGCTCTTTTACTGAAATAATAAAACATGTTAGATGTGATGGAAAGATTACAAACTCCACGTTTCGGGTAGTCAATCACGTGTATCGTATTATTTGGGGAATATATATATATGCACACAACACTCAAATTCTGAAAAAATCTCATCGGTACGATTTTCAAATCAGATTTTCACTTTTAACAGAATGACGTTTTGCTCTTTTGACTAAAAGCTTTGTTTGTTTGTTTGTAATTAAGCACAAAGCTACACAACGGGCTAGCTGTGCTCTGCCAACCACGAGTATCGAAACCCGGATTCTAGCGTTGTAAGTCCGCAGACATACCGCTGTGCCACTGGGGGGGGGGGAGCTGGTTAAAAGCTTAAACTTTAGTTCTCTCCTTTCGGCATGTCACTCAAAGGAAATCATTAGAAAAAATAATTAAACGAATATTCTATATAAAAAAAAGAATCAGTCTGAGAACGTCACTTAAAAAAAATCTATTGCTTTTGATCGGGAATTTAATGAGAAAGAAAAATAAACTGTCCCATTCTACCAAAAAGAAAAGGATGTTGGGATTCTAGAACATTCTGGCTATTCTTATTTTTTTGATACCATAATCAGACCACTTTGTACTCACCTTTAATGATAAGTCTACCACCAGAGCTACTAATCTTCAATTCTCCTGTTAACCTGTTCCTAGTCTCACACTGATAGCTACTATAAGCGTCAGAAGTCCCAACATTACGAATATGAAGGACTCCATTTGGAAATACGCTGTATCTTCCACCTTCACAAAGAAAATAAAGATGGATGACATCACAAGAGATTAGATCTGCATGAAATGTTCTTAGAAAACCTATTTTACTTCCAAGGTTATAATTTCATTCTTACAATGTTATATTCTTTTTAAATGATAAATTTGAAATGATGCAGACACGAAAACATTTACGTGTATATAATCTACTTTGCATTTTATACTAAAATAAATATTTTATATACAACATTTACATAAAGAAAATACGATTAATCTGACATTTTTTATGACTAAAACATCCACGTGCTATTCGAAAGCACGTGGATAAAAATGATTACAGCGGATCAATAAAATGTATCAACGATGTAATTTTGTACCTAATGAATATTGAAATCTTAAAATTCTTTTACAATTGAAACTTGATAGTTATAGATAACTCATGGAATGATACATTTAGTGCATCATCAATATGGTTGTGGGTACTTAAAGCATCAAAATTGCTACAGGGTTCCTTGATGTATGACACTATTAGACCGCTACAAGTAATCCTTCATCTTATGTTTTTACGTTGTTTTCTGACATCTTTTTCTACACAAACTAGTTACTTCAAATATAATCTTATATGTGATCGTAAATACGTAATTTACATTTCTTGTTTATTATAAAGCCTGTGTATTAGTTTAGTTAGTTCAAGTGCAATAAAGTTTTACAAAATATATCAATTTTGTTTTAAATTGAAAGACGCAATCAATTTCTTCAAAGATGGCGGAACCTGCGCATTAAATTCTAATATTGATTTTAATACGTTAAAAAATTATCTCTTTCTACGATTGATTTCTAATTGCCCCAATCTGCTTAAGAACGACTTAGTTACTTACCGTATTTTTCGGTGTATAAGACGCACTTTTTTACCCACAAATTTGATGTCAAAATCTGTTTGCGTCCTAAACACCGAAGGTATTAATAATATATATGAATATATACGATATACACAAG